AACTACAGGGGGGTCCAGCGACATAGCCATTACGCTAACTGCTGGTTCCTTTTTTTTTTTTTTAAATATTGTTTTTATTTGGGGCTGGCAGGTGGCATGATGGTTACGGCGGCTGGACTCGCACATGGCTGATAGCGGTTTGAATCCTGGATCTGACAGATTGCTTTCTCATTTTCCATCTCTTTCTCTGTCTCTCTCTGGTCAGCTTCAAAAAAATAAAAATAAATACATAAAAATAAATAAAATAATGACAATGAATAAAATCACATCATTCTTTTTTAAAATTAATTAACTTATTTATAAAATTCCATTTGTTTTATTATTACTATTGGGCTTTTTTTAGGGGGGATAGAGGTTTTGCTATAGGCTGCGTGTGCTCGCCAGAAAGACAGAGAGACACAAAGAAAGAAAGCATCCCCCCACGAGGGATGGCCACGCCGCAATCCCTTCTCTTCCATTCTCCTCTCGGGATCTTGGGCACGCATGCACACGCGCCCGGTGTGAGTTTAAGCCACCAGATCTGGGACTTGAACTGTAGTCAACTACATGGGAGTCCAGCAACATAGCCATTATGCTATCTGCTGGTCCCTATTATTGTTTTTAATTTGACCAGAGAAAGAGAAAGTGAGAAAGCAAGCTACCATCTCCAGGACTCGAACCGTGGTTGACCATGTGGGAATCAAATGCCTTTAACCATCATGCCACCTACTGGCCCCTAAAATTAAATAATTCTTTTAAAATTATTTTTATTTAACTTTATTAATAATTATTACTATTATTATTATTAGAGGATTTTGCTATAGGGCACATGAGCTCTCCAGAGAGACAGAAAGCGAGAAATCACCCCCCGGGGGAACGACCACACAGTAATCCCTTCTCCTCCATTCTCCTCTCGGGATCTTGGGCACGCACGCACACACACCTGACATGAGTTTTAAACTACTGGGTCTGGGACTTGAACCACAGTCTACTATGTGGGAGTCCGTGACGTAACCATTACACCATCTGGTAGTCCCTATTACTATTATTTTTTAATTTGACCAGAGAGAGACAGAGACAAAGAGAGACAGAAAGTGAGAAAGCAAGCTGCCAGGTCTAGGACCTGAACCAAGGTCAGCCATGTGGGAGAGTCCAGGGCCTTAACCACCACGGTACCTGCTGGTCCATTCCCATTCAACAATGGACACTATCCTGCCTGACCCCACAGTATCCCCCATGGGCCAGTGTTAGATGACTAGTTGAACAAGGGCCAGCTGGTGGCTTGGTGATTAAGGCACCTGGATCCCACATGGTCGATTGCATGGTTCAAATCCTGGACTTGGTGGCTTGAAAATCTCGCAGGGCTGGGGCCAGCAGGTGGCACAGTCGTCAAGGCACCAGACTCCCACATGATTGACTGTGGTTTGAGTCTTGGACCTGGCAACTTGACACGCTGGGCATGTGTGTGTGTG